CTCCCATCCCGCACATGCGATACTGCCATGTCAGCTACCTCGCGTCTCTTCCCGACAGTAGGGATTGGATCCCCAATTCTGCCCCAGCGGCTGCATTACTTGTGCGCTTGGAGCATCCTAGGATGATTTTCACTGCTTTCATCTGCGCCGCCTCGAGTTCTTTCACTACCTTCTTATTTCCTTCCCATACTTCTCCGGCGTACTCTAGCGGCGGTACGATCACGCTCTTCAAAACCGTCAATTTGATGCGTGTGTCGAGGTGCCGGGGTCGGGACATGCGAATTCGTTGGTCTTCCGTAGCAAATGAGACGTAATACAATGAGTTGGTTGAAGCAAACGAGGGAAATGGAACGCCCCAACAACGTTGTTGGTGTTAGCCCATGTCCATCTGCGACGACGGTGCGCAGACGGTGGGGTTCTATGTGCACAACGACGGCGCAACGGCTGGCTGTGAGCACGTGGGGTGTGATATCCATGTCGTTTGTTTGAACCACGGCGCCCTTTTCAAACGCACGTCTATTACACCAACACCACAATAGTCTTAAACGTACTTGCTTCGTCGAGGCTACAAGCGAAAACGGCAATCGTTAGTCACCACGCGGGGTTACCTCTTCCGTCTTGGAGATGAGGCGTTTCTGTAGCGTGTGAATCTTTTGGATCATCTCGAACGTCGTCGGGTCACTCCCCTCGAGCTTCCGCCAGCGGTGCACGTTCATGGGGTTCTCCAGCTCCTCGCTCAATGCCTTTACCTTGGTCTTCTCCTGCGAGTCGTGCGAAACGCTTGTGTTGAACCTGATATCATGTTGTAGATGATGCATGCCCCCTCTTGCCCTCAGCGGAAGGCTCCCGGGCGGCGGCGGAGAGAGGGGCTGGGGGGTTCTACTCACTGCCATTCATCCGAAAGGCCCTCGCATTGGAACTTGACCGACGGGTGGGGGGGGGTAATCATGACGGTGCATGCCGATGTCGTCCGGCCATGGACATCCCGGCGAGAGGCAGACGGGGGGGAGGGGAGTGTACTCATACTCATAGTTGTTCATACCGTAGTCGTTAGACCATCGACCTCGAATCCCTGCAAAGCCGGGACGGAGCACGCCGGCTTCTCACCGGACCAGGTTCTCACATCACCAAGCGCGGAGCGCCGTGAGATATTCGGCGAGTCGCATGAAGGGTGCGCTGCATCCNTTCTCGACCCCGCACAACATGATCTACTCGACCACCATTATGGTCACCGCGAAAAAAAGAAATNGGATGACAGCTACGTATGACTTAATTTATTTTCTGGTGCTTTCACTTCCTCAGACAGTTATAAGCACTGTGAAACTGCCTCGAGGGTGCTTGACCATGTTAACACAACGTGGTGCGATCATTCCCCTTGCACGGAGTGAGGGTTCTCGACCCCGCACAACATGATCTACTCGACCACCATTATGGTCACCGCGAAAAAAAGAAATAGCAGAGGTAAAAAGAAACGGTAACCTGGTTGCCGAGTTCACGAAGTGAATTGGCTTGTTTTACAACGTCGTTGCCAAGCAACGAAAACCCAATCCCGATGGCAAACACCGAGGGGGGGGCTTGTTTTACAACGTCGTTGCCAAGACGGGGGGGAGGGAGTGCGGCGAAGATTAAAGTTCCGTCACTATTGCTCGCACGCGGACGACCGAACATGAAATTATAGACGGCAATTCGTCTTGGCACATGCAGTCGTAACGGCGGGTTGGTGAGGGGCGACGTAGCAGTACCTGCAGCAGATCCCTCTGCAGCTGAAAGACCTCCCTACGCAACTCGTCCATCTGGTTGCTCGAGCCGCGAGCTATGGCGAGGTCCCGCATGAGGTCCCCGCACTTGAGCTTTAGAGTGCGAATGTCCATCAAGCGCATACTGTAGCCCGCCTCGCCCTTTGAGCGTCGACAATTATTGGCAGGAAGAGAGAGAGGGGGGGGGGGGGGGAGAGGGACAAAGAGAGATGACACATGCATGAAAAAAATCAAAAGTCAGTCAACGTGGCAGGGGCGGCTACACTATGCACCAGTGTACATTTCTAGCACTACTTTCTACCTTTACCGAATTGCTGCTGGCTGCATCTCGTTGAACGAGGGCAGGGATAAGGGCCGGATAGACCAGGACAAAACGACGGATGCGAGAAACGACTGGCAGCTGGGGAAACTCTGCGTGGTTCCTTCACGTCGGGTACTCTTTTGGAGTATGTATCGCGCACCAGCAGGTGTGTGCGCGATGCACACACGTTGGCAACCCGAAGGAAAAGTATTGCACACTACATTCGCGTTTCCTCATAACTAGGCGACTGTCTGACGAGTAAAACGAGACCATCGTCTCGGCAAGAGGAAAGAAGATAGCGTCAGGAAACGAAATGGCTGCGGTCGCAGGTCAGAAGCCCACAACCCCGACCCGACGCCTCTCCGAATGTTTTGCTGGTTGGTGCGGCCCACCTTCTTTAGGGTGCTCTGCTGAATCTTGAGCTTCTCGTAGAGGAGGGCCAGCTCGTCGTTGCGGCGAATGAGCTGCGTTCCCAGAATGTCCCGTTCGTTTATGACCTTGTGTGCGTTTTGTCGCGTTGTTGACAACGAGGACCAAAAGAACAGAGCCCGCCGCGCTGTTGTGAGAGGACATCGAAACTGGGCGGTTGTGGTTCCTCGTTATTGGCGTTGTTGGTCATCGCACCAAATGGGAACAAGGTGGTCGTTGTCCCCACCGGACCGACGCATTAGAACGTTCCTGGTACTGGGGGTCGGGTGTGCGCTGAGACATTGTCCCATGTGGTATACAGTTAGAGCCCGCGCTCAGGAACTTGGCAGCTGTGAAATTGTCTCGAAACTCAAAATCGGAGAACCTGCGCACCATTTGTGCGCCCGGTTAAGAACCTCTAGACTAAAACCCTCCACAGCGACCATTTGTAGCATAACCCTGAAGCAGCAGGGACTAAGCGCCCCAGCCTCGGCCAAAAGTAGCGGTTCTCAAGTGCCGGCGCTAGCTGTACATACGGATATCTCTCGGGTTTGCAAAACAGCATGTTGGTCTTCTGGTGGTGTGACCCTCATCGTGGTGTTGGCGTTCTTTCGCCAGACAATGAAGGAAGCACCACAGAAGGACTACTCGTTCGAGCTAGCTCCCAGCGAGACGTGTTGAAACATTTACGGTGAAAATTATTGATCGACACGTGCCGAATACTCTGGGCTAAATAGGTGCGTCTAACCAAACTTTGCAACCAGGACTCTTATGATGCCAGATAAAAAACAAGACCTCTTTGTGCTGGAAGTCAAGCCGGTTATGCTGAGTCAGGCTCGCTCACCTGGTCGTACTCCTTCCTTTGCTTGAGCGCATCCTCGTCCATTTTGCTCAACATCCCAGCTAGCCGCCGCACTTCGGCATCCTAAAAAAAGTCGGTTATTTTGCACGCATTCAGTTGTCTGTGAGTACTCGATTCGATCTGAGTTCAACGCGCACACAAGACAACCAACCAAAGCATGTGACCGAGTACACACCAAAGTTGTCGTCGGTCTCACCATAGCAAATGGACATCATTGCCTGACAGAGTGTAGAGAGTGGAGTGTTATTGAGCATCGTTGTGGAGACCCTCTTCATAAAGGGGAGAATCTATCTAACGTCTGTCTAGGACGATTCTCTCTGTTCTTGTGCTATAGTATCCCGCCTCCATTGCACCCGCTCACGGCCTTCATCCATTCCACGTATTTGACGCACGCGAGGAACTGTTTACCCGGCGCCCAAGCAACCCTAGAGCACCGACAGCGTGACTCTAAACAAAAAACATGCGAGAGAAAAATATCCGCAGAGAATTGCAAGAAACGAACGGCGGAAAATACTGTGTAGTTTTGGTTTACCTGCTTGTGCACGACGGTATCGTTGTTCTCCAAAAGGCGCTTCATGCGGTCGATCTCGTTGCGCATCTGCTCTCTTTGCGTCTCAGCCTTCTGGTGGTCGAAATGCTCTTTCACCAAGGCATGGTCCTGCAGTACAGCAAGTGTTCACGTGACACGTCATTTAGCGTCGGCCCCCTTTCGAGTGAAAAGTGAAGGACGGGAAGCGTGGTCTACTGTAGCTGCGGGCGGTTATTGTTGTTCCGCAGTGTTGCTGCGAATCGCACCCCGGTCGTGAAAGGCAAGACCGCCGAGCGGGTAGAAACCGCGAACGGCGATTCAAGAATGGGACGTCCGAAAAGAAAGTTTTGTCTTCCGACGGGGACATGTTGGGTTTTCCCGACTTGGACGAAACACGACCAACTCGGGCACAAGGAGAGGCGATGTGGACTGCTGCTGCGGCGGGACTTGCTGACTTGCCCCCATGTCTAACCGCACCTCAACTAAGTTTGCAAGAGAAGGCCCTCACCTTGGCGGTGATGTCCTCCTTAAGCTGTTCTATCTGGTGGTTCATGATCTTGAGCTTGCGCTTCATCTCCGCAATCTCATCCTGCGCCTCGATGAGGTTCTTACTGTACAGGTTTCGGTCGCTCCTCACGCTCTCGTAGAGCTGCTGCTGCTGCTTCAGCTTCACCTCCCAGTCGCTGATCTTGTTGCCGAGCTCGTTGATGCGCATCTGACGGAGCTGCTCCCGAGTGTGTTTGTGTTTACGGAGGGAGACACGTAAGCTGGTTGATGCAAGCAGCGAGGTCAGCCAATTATTCGCGCAATAGAACAAGCTTGCGGGCCAACCTCTGTCGGTCGTGTACGGTGCCTTCGTGAACGTGTTGACCTGCTTCGACTGTCGGGGCCGCTCGAAAACGACTCCTGCCTTAAAGCATGGCATCTTGAAGAAGTCACCGTACGGTGCGAGAAAACCGGCGGTGTGTGCTGTTCACAATTCATTTTTGTTCTCGTCCTGTTTATTGTCCGTCGTGCGAGGTTCTGTTCGGTCTCGTCTTTCTGTGTGAAGAGTTCCGACCCATTTCGTTTAAAGTACTGTTGCAATATCGAGGAAGGGTCGAGAGGGGGGGGGTGTTGATTGTAGTCACGATTGAATGGTTTGTCGTACAAAACGGGTAGGAAACACCATCTCCTTCAACTCGGTTCGACGAGCCGGATGATGCTCTGCATAGAGTTCAGAGCGTTGCATGGCGTGAAGACAACAGCAACGTCAGCAAGAACAACGTGGAAAAAGAAATTTCACGAACATTTTGAATATCTCTGGCTTCTCCTCGAAGGTAGGTTGGCTATCTTCCTTGACAGCCAGAATCCAGCTTGTCGACGGCTACGAATGTAGAGCGACTTAACTACAGTAATTCTGACCAGTCCTCGAAAATTCACGGATTTTTCCGTATCTCAAGTGATGCTGTTCGCAATCTTGACACTCTCCAATTGCGGCGTGTTTACCATGCCCACTGTACATCCATGCAGGTGAAAGACGCTGGACTTCCTCATCGTCGTGTCGAATCAACGCATGACACTACTACGTGAGATGATGGTGAAAGTTGTACGGGAATAAAACAACGGAAACCGTGACATCAACAGGAACAACAACAGCAACAACTAGCTAACCTTGACGTCCTCCAGAGATTGCATGTAGATGTTCTGCGCCTCGCTGAGCTCGCTTCCCAGCTTCTCCCTCTCTTGCTCCAGCCGGAACACGTCTTTCCGCTGCCGCGACACCTATGGTTGTATTTACGACACAGTCCGACATAGTTCGGGAGAAGCAGGGTTCACGCAAACGCAGTTCATGACAGCGCCAAACAAATGGTGTAAATCTTTTCGTGATCGCAGTGCAGAGGGTGGGTGGCCAGAGGAAGCGCTAGGGGGGGAGGGGGGCAGATGAGCCAGCGTTGTTTGTACCGCATGCAAGCTGTCCCCGCTGCTTGTGCACGGTACCCGCGCGTCCAAAGCGGCGTGGAGCACGGCAATGCCTCTTTTCTGGGTGTTTGCACAGAGTTGTAAATCGCGTTGGTGTTTCCCGCTGTTGGCACAACCATTTTTCCGGCTTTGCGCTGGCATGCTGTGCCGCTTGCTTTCGACAACAAGTTCTGCGTCGTTTCTGCTCAGACACCGATTGCGTCTGCTAACCCTGTTTCTCGTATTCTCAGGGATGAGCAAATCAACTCGGAAGAAGAACACACACTGGTGGTCTACAGCCACGCACGTACCTCGTTCTTGTAGGAGGTCAGCTCTGCCTCTAGCGAAGAGATTATCATCTCCCTCTCCTTCACCAGATCCTCGGTGATCTTCATGCGATCTTCCGCTTTCTGCGTAGCCTACTCGCCACCGTTTCAGAGTCAGAGAGAGCCGATGAAGTTTTAGCCGGTACAGAGAGAAGCCGGTAGAGCGGGAAATACGGAGAGACAACAGAGAGCGGGACAGAGACCGGGGTAGGGGGCGCGGGGGGGGGAGGGTGGTTCGATGACAAAAGGCAGTCTGCCTGCAGTGTTGATACTTCGAAGTACATCATCCACGTCTTCCGCACAACTACTCTTCACCGCAATCGTTGGTCACTCTCTCGTCCGTGAAACCCCACATACGCTGGATATTTACAACCAACACCCCGCACCACTCTGCCAACGATGAACCCTGCCCAGCGGGTAGTTGTTGCTCAAAGCTTCTCTTGCAGAGCGCGGATTTGTCACTGCAGGCGTCGTCATGCACACCTGCAATTGCAGCCCCTTCTCCCTGGACGACGTGTCCGCCTCTTTCCGCGCCAACTCCTCTCGCTTCCGCAGCACGCTCATTTCTTTTTCCAGGCTCTTGATGCTCGTCTGTGGCCGCCGTCAAAGTAGAAACGTCGGAGCGTGAGACAAGCAGTCCTTGTGTGTTTATCACCCACAGTTTTATGAAGATCGATAATCTCAACGGTCGAAAGTGCTAGTTTATCCTTCTTGCTACCGCTGCGTCTTCCTTGAAACGTCGCTGGTCCTATCGTTGGTCTGGAGATCGAGGGGGGGGCGGTGGTGCATGGCCTTGCATTGTTGGTGGTGCGGAATGCCATGGAACGAAAGAACGAAGATCGCAGCCCCCCCTCCAAAAGCAACAACCAACAAGGCAATGAGCAGTCGCGGTAGGTCTCACCTTAACATCTAGTACGAACAGCAACAATTTGCAGATGGTATCGATTTTCGCACTAATCCTAGACAAGTGTGCGGTAAAAGCTCCATTGGTCTATATCCCCTTTCCGCCTTTTGCTTATCTCTCAAGTTTTGTTGATACGTTTATCAAGTGATACGTGATAAAAACCTCAACAAGCAAACAATTGGCTTTGGTGATGATTCATATGATGCCGGCCGGAAAGCCGGTTGCGTTTGAAAACGAATTCAGGGGGATACATATACTCGGCCTGAAAAGGATGTGATCTACAAGAACGCGCCGGGGGGAGATAGCGGGCAACCACCGCTCCAACTAGTTGTTGAGGTGTGCACCCGCGGCAAACCAGACGATGACGAGGGGGGCAGGATAAGGGGGGGGGGGGCTTGAACAAGTTTCATTCCGCGCAGCACCACCGCGTCTGCCGCCCCCGAAAAGTGACACCAATAACGTCCACCCACTCTACGGTTGTGCCGTGCTTTAGGCGGTGGTAGGGTCGTCGGGGGAATCAGGTGACGTCGACGTTTACCTGCGCGATGGCGAGCGGGGTTTTGCTCTCTTCGAGCATCCTCCGGTACCTCTCGGTGACGTTCTTCTCTCTTTCCATCTTGCGCTCCCACTGGCCCAGCTCGGTGAGATGTCGCGCGATCTCGTTGTCCTGGCCAGGGGGTAGGGGTGGGCACGAATCAGGGAGCCGCATCACGACGTTGGTGTGGATTCCTTCCTTCGAGATTTCCGGTCCAGTCTCTCAGAAAAAGTCGAAATGAACAGTGGACTAAAGTGCCCGGTGGTTGTTGTTCGACACTTGACAGCGGTCTAGATTGCGGGGAGGAGCTTGGTCAGCTATCGAGACCTGATGACGTTCCTTGCCATCCCATGGGAAAACAAAATCTGACTGCCCGCGCTGGGAGTTCGTCGCTTCCTTAGAAAAGCTCTTACCTTTGTCTTTATTTCCTTGTCTGCGTTGATATTCTCCAGGCTAAGCTGGCTGTTTTTGTACATCTGCAAGGGGGGGGGGGGGGG